CCCCTTCCCATTAGCAAGGAGTGCAGCATCTTGCTTCAGAAAGAGACATTATGTTCCCCCCCCACAGCAATAGGGTGAGAGAAGTATAAGATACTGATTGAATAGCTGTCACTGTTTTTCATGAAATTAAAAGATGCCTGCTCCTTGGGAGGAAAGCGATGGCGAACCTAAACAGCATGATAAAAAGTAGAGACATCACCCTGCCAACAAAAGTCCGCATGGTCAAAGCAATGGTATTCCCAGTAGTCATGTATGGCTGCGAGAGTTGGACTATAAGGAAGGCCAAGCGCCGAAGAATAGATTCTTTTGAACTATGGTGCTGGAGAAGACTCTTGAGAGTCCCTTGGACTGCAAAAAGATCAAATCAGTCAATCCTAAAAGAAATCAACCCTGACTATTCCCTGGAAGGCCAGATAATGAAACTGAAGCTCAAATACTTTGGCCACCAAATGAGAAGGGAGCACTCACTGGAGAAGACCCTGATGCTGGGAAAGATTGAAGGTCAAAGAAGACAGGGATGGCAAAGGATGAGATGGTTAGACAGTGTCATCGATGCAACGAACGTGAAATTGAGCCAACTTCAGAGGACGGCGGAAGACAGGAGGGCCTGGCGAGAGTTGGTCCATGGGGTCGCGAAGAGTCGGACTCGACTGTGCGACTGAACAACAACAAAAAATAGATGGAACACTGTCTGAGGTACTGATGCTCTGTATTCTTGATACTGGGGAGGGGGCAACAGTGGGGACTTCTGGAGTTCTGGCCCTGCTGGTGGACCTCCTGATGGTACCTGGGTTTTGGCCACTGTGTGACACAGAGTGTTGGACTGGATGGGTCATTGGCCTGATCCAGCATGTCTTCTCTTACGCTCTTTTGTCTTACTGCCATCAACTGCTTGAAAACATTTATTTGGTATTTTATTTATGCTGTTTATAGTCCACCTTTCTCACTGGGACTCAGGGGAGATTACATAGAGTAGGTCAATACAATTAGCAGGATAGGACATCCAATCAACAATGCAACAGGGGCTGTTTTAGTACATACCTGCAATAGGATTAGGATTGCAGAAATCCGGAACCAATTTGAAATCTGAAAATACAGCCAAAGCAAATCGTATTAACCTGATGCATTAACCAATGCAAAAATCACATAGTAGTAGGATCCTACCTAGAGCAATAGACAGTACGAAGTACACAGAGTAGTATAGGCTACAATCTCTTAAACCTTTACCCAAGTACCAATTTGTTACATTACAGCCCTATTATCTGTAGGGAAGCCAGCTATGCGGAGAAGAGTAGGACCCTTCCTGACCTCATCAAGTCGACCATTCCATAAGCGTCTCTGGTGGAAGAGAGTTCAGTTTTCCAACCGGAGTTTGTTGATGCGTGTGTGTGAGGAAAAGAGCAATTCACGATGCTAAAACGATTATAGACACCGCTGGTTTTCTTGTTGGGATACACCAAATGTACGGTACTGATTGCGCGATTCTATGCACCCGAGAACGGGGGGGGGGGGGGGGAGAGAGTTTCGGAAAGCGAACTGGCCGTGAAAGCAGGCGAGGAGCAGCCGCACTCAACTTTGGGGAGGCGGGGACGGCTGCAGCCCTAGCTCCCGCCTCCTCCTCCGCCTGGAGACAAATAGGAGGCCTTGGCGAGGAGCCCGGCCCTCCCTCGTTCAGCAGCGCCCGCGGGGCTTCCTGGCTTAGGCCTGGGCGCTGCCTTCGCTCTCTCCGCGGCCCGCCCTCCTTGCCTTGCCTTGCCAGTGCAGTGCGGCTCGCCATGGCCTTCGCCACCCGCCAATTCCTGCGCGCGATTTCCACCGCGGCCGCCAAAAAGCTGGTGGTGAAGCATGTGACGGTGATCGGGGGCGGCCTGATGGGCGCCGGGATTGCCCAGGTGAGCGGGCGAGGAGGGCTGCTGCCGCCGCCGGGCTTTGGCAGGGGAAGGAGTGACGGCTGCCCTTCAAGGCCCTTGGCCGGGGAGTCCTCCTTTGGAGGGATGGGCGGAATCGAGGCAAGGATGCCCACTCCCTCGACGCGGGAGACGGGGGGTACCTCTCTTTTTCGGGGAATTAGTTAATAAGTAACTATGCTGCTTGCCCGCCCCCGTCGCTGGTCCCAGAGACGGTCCTCTCTGGGCCCTTTCACTCCCCCCCAGCGCATGATTCGCGCGCAGTGGAGTCTCTGCCCTTGTGCAGAATCTTCTCGTCCTGCGGTCCTCTGTATTGTTGCCTGAAGAATCAAAGCACAGTATTCTTTGCCGTGTGCAAGTGTAGCTCTTTAAAACTGGATGGCGTGATCATATAAGGACAAGCGATTGCCCATAGGGAATACATGAGTGGACAGCGATTGCCCATAGGCAATACATGAATGCCAATAGAGAATGCATGGTTGCCCATAGGGAATAATGAAGAGTAGGCTTGCCAGAGGTCATTCCAGCTCCCCCAGCTCTCGTTAGGGGCTCTTTAAAAAGTTATGGATGCGGCTGCTGTCGGCGGCAGCTGCATCGGCCGCGGGGGGAGGGGGGACGTTCCCCCGCCTCCCTGAGCCCCGGGGTTGTGGCCTTGGACTCCTAGGGGCAAATTCCGCCGTGGCTCAGGGAGGTGGGGGAACGTTTTGGCCCCTTCCCCCCCCCCGCGTGCGCGAGGTCGTTGCAGCTGCTGCCGACAGCAGCAGTGGCCATAACTTTTTAAAGAGCCACTAACGAGAGCTGGGAGAACCAGAATGACCTCTCCTGTGTGGTGGAATCATATGGGAGAGGTGGAATTTGCCCCTAGGAGCCCAAGGCCACCACCCCAAGGCTCAGGGAGGTGGGGGGAACATTTCGGCCCCTCTCCCCAGCGCCCGCGGCTGTTGCAGCTGCCACCGACAGCGACGGTGGCCATAACTTTTTAAAGAGCCCCTAACGAGAGCTGGGGGAGCCAGAATGACCTCTTGCATATGATGGCAACGCCGCTTGGACATCACATGTGAGATGTGGAATTTGCTCCTACGAGTCCAAGGCCACCACCCTGGGGCTCAGGGAGGTGGGGAACGTTCCCCCCCCCCGCGGCCATAACTTTTTAAAGAGCCCCTAACGAGAGCTGGGAGAGCCAGAATGACCTCTCACGTGTGCCTAGGATTGTCCTTAGAATGGTTTGCCAGTGGTGCAAAAAAAAAAAAAATTCATTCTACTATGTGTGTTTGGTGTAGCTGATAATGCTCAGTAGAGCTGGTCCATCTCTTGCCCGCTTTTTCTGGAAACTGTACCTTTTTTTTAATATGCTCCCCCTATTTGGGCTTGCTGGGTGGGCCACCTCCTTAAGACCATTGCATAGGGCCCTGAGCTGTATCCCATTCATAGGGGAAGTATCTTTAGGAAAAGCACAGGGCATTTTTACTAGTGTGTCTGGACTGACGTTTGATGGTGGAAATGGGTCTCAGCAGGCCGTAGAGAACCCTGGTCTTAAGCTTGAGTAATTTTCCTGCACTCTTCCCTTGCCAAGAGAGGATACTAAGCTGTCTCCAGAGACCCTGTTTTGTCTGTTCAGGTACACGGGAGCTTCCTTGCTTCTGACTTTTTGCTTTAGAAGTTTCCTCTTGTCTCTCTGACTTGCTTAACATTTCTTCTTGGTACAAGCTTTGTTGATGTACCTGTGTTCAAGTTAAACAACTCTTTGCAAGTAAGCCTGGAAATCTGCACACACACCTTGTGCTAACAGGTCAGAGCAATGTGTGGTAACAATTTACCTAAATTGCCCAAGCAAAATGATATAAATTAGTGTCTTTGCACTTTGAAACACTTTTATCCTGCCCTGGTGCTTTGGGGGATTTTTTTCCAAGGTAGTTAATGAAAAACTAGGTTTTTTTAATCTACACTGTTGCTTTGCAAGCTTATTTGCAGGAATTCCAATCCATGCTGGTGGAGGTAAAAACAAGATAGGAGGTTAACTGAAATAGAATTGGAGAATTGGGTTTTCTGAACGGCCTCTGTGTCAAGTAGAACTGGAAAAATGCTTTTTGTATGTGTGTGTGTGTGCTCTTTCAGATACCAGCTGTCATTCAAAATATGTGCCTGTTATGTAGTGGGTGGTCGCCCGAACAAACGATAGACTACGTGGTGGTGCATCGCACGCTTTATTCAGTACACAACAAGAAGGGCCCACAAACGGCCGGCAGGCCAACTATATACAAACCTGGGGACACCCCCCTGGTCACCATTGGTGGGTTTGAATCTCCCGCCATGGTTCCCATTGGTTCCCCAGTGTAGGGCTAGGATCCTAGTCCCCATTGTTGTCCAGGACTGAAGCTCAGGTGTGTGTGCTGACCTCAGGTGGCGGTCAGTGGACACAACATCCCTCCCCCCATAGTCCGAACCCTCCCCTATGAAACATAGTCTTTAAGGTACGCTGGGGGCCGTCGCACCCTCGCGGATCGTCTGGGGGCCGGAGCTGGGGCCTCCGGGGTTCGGACCTCCGGGGCAGAAGTCTGAGGTGGTGCTGGGACCTCTGCGGCTACTGATTCGGGCTCTGGGGACCCCGCATCCGCTGCCGGGGGCTGGTTATCCTGGTGTGAGTCCTCTGGTGCGGGCAGGGTTTGTTCTGGGCCCTCGTCAGGACCCCCTTCTAGCTCTGCCCGCTGCTCCGGTACCTCTGCTGGCATGTGATCAGGCAGCATTCGCCGCCGGAGCTGGTCGATGTGCCGCCTGAGGCCCTGGCCGCACTCTGTGGACACCTCGTACATGACGGTGCCCGTTGGTCTGATGATGCGGCCCGCGAGCCACTTTGGGCCCCTGCCAAAGTTCTGGGCAAAGACGGGTTCCCCAGGGAAGAACCCAGCATTCGCCGCCGGAGCTGGTCGATGTGCCGCCTGAGGACCTGGCCGCACTCTGTGGACACCTCGTACATGACGGTGCCCGTTGGTCTGATGATGCGGCCCGCGAGCCACTTACTGTGCTAGGAGGAACTTGGCGATGCGGAATTCCCAATCCCCTTCCGATAGGCGGCTGAGGGCCTCCTTCGCGGTCCGGACCATGCGCTCCGCTTGGCCGTTGGT